CAGCTCACACGATGCTTGGAGTGAAGAACAATGTAAAACCATCATGCGAAGCAATTAGTCCTGATACTCAGTGATTGCGTCATATGTACGGGTCTAAGCTTAACAACAACATGGAAGTATTTTAGAAGTGACTATTCCACAAAGTGTGTAGAAAATGATTTGTCTCAGGGGCTAGTAATTAACGTCCAAACTGTGATTAACGCCAAAGATGGTTCCAAAACTCTATTGATTTGAGATCTAAGCTGCAAAACAGGACATCCTCTTTTTAAGGTAAACTATCCCAATATATTTGGCAATATAATGTTCATATTATAACAAAAAATAATAAACAATCATGTTTCAATAACTTCAGCAACGTACATCCGCATTTTATATTTTGAGACTCTCAATTTAATTATTTTGTGTTTTGTTCTCATAAGATCTGTTTTTACAGGAAAAGCTTGATAAAGGTGAACTTGCATAATGGGTTTTTTTCACGTCCGTTATTGAATCAGCTCAAAATGAGGTCTTAAAATTATAGGTAGTTCCATTGTAATGTGTTATCATATTATATAAATATAATAATTAATACAATCAGCGAAGTGTTTAGAATTTTCGCACAAAAATACACCATAATTTTAGATTAATAGACTGAATCTAGTTAAAGGTCTTCTTTTGTCAAATAATTGGCATTTCTTTTATGACCAAATACGCAGCAATAGGCCACGGACCTTCGGAATTGGATTTCGAGCACGCTAACCACTAAGCCATACTGGCTCCAAGAATATAGTACTCATCAAGTTTAGTGTTAACACTTATGTACAAGTAATCACGAGTTTCAGGTTGGTAACATTAACAGTAACATGAATATTTATTTGTTTCTAATGAGTCACCTAGTTTTACGTGTTTTATTTATTCACATTACAGTTTTATTTTGTTTTTACTTTAATAATATGTTACTTCGTTCTCAATATACCAAATTTGAATTCCACAGAAAGATAGATAAAAGCTGGAAAAACAATATAGAGTAAAGAAAGAAGTTGCCAAAAATACTCGAAGTGCTAAGTTAATATTATTTGATAACATAATTGGCTATTATATACTTTACAATCCGCATAAACAGAAATACTAGAAGATAGTATAAGTTTAACGTCAAAAACAAGTCACTGAATGACGATAAAGCTAGCAATGATTTGGTAATGTAGTAAAAGATAGCATAAAATATTTTAAAACGAAGTTTGAAATTTATTGGTTATTCGTCTGCTAGAAAAAAAAATCAAATTATGCAACAGATAATAAATAATTTTTAATATTTCAAAATCTATGATTCCTTTTAACATCAATATGTACACATCGTTTGGTTGTTAAATTGAATATTTATATGTAATCAAAGTGTCTAATATCTGCAATAAATCTATACATATACATTCCGACGTATGGATGATGTATTTCTTATGGTTAGCCGACAAATTTTCAAGTTGCAAATTATTTTCAAATAAGAAGCAATATCTTTATTATTAATACTTCGTTATTTTCTATCGTAGGATCAACATGTATACTTTTAGAGAGCAAAATAATGACAAGACAAAAATGTATTTTATGGATATATTAAAAACTATACAGATTAAAGCAAAATGATAAGAATCGTAATCTATCATATTTCTAAAACAATTTTCAATCACTGTAATTACATATGAACATTTAATGTGTATGAAATCAAGCAATATGCATATCTAACAATGTCATTTGGTTATTGTTGTTGAATTTCGCGCAAAACTACTAAAAGACTATTTGCACTAACCGTTCATAATTTTGAGGCGATAAACTAGAGACTACTCAGCTAGTCAACATCGCCCATCGCCAAACTCTCCAGCTACTTTTTACCATTACATAATGGAATTGGCCGTCATTTATGACACCCCCCCTGGTAAAAGGTGAGGACGTTCGGTGCTGAGTTTCGATCCCGCGACTCGTAAATTATAAGTTGGGTGCTCTAACGCCAGATCGTGCCATACCTCTGGCTTTTGGAAGTAGTATTTATGTATTTCTGAAAAGCTTTAAATTATACAAATGATAAGCTATGCGCACTTTGTGTTAATGTATACTTTTGTTCAGTTTAAAGTATAATTTTCAATAGATTCAATTACACCTGCCAGATATTTTTTTGTCATGTTGAAAGTTGTTGGAAAATTCGTAATTAAAATTCCTCAATTTAATCGTATTTTTAATAATTTTAGTGCAGGTTTGTTACAAGCTTACCCAGAACTTCTATCACAGTTGTTTGGATGTTTTAGAGCAAAGCCACATTGGGCTATCTGCTGTGTCCACCGCGGGGAAACGAGCCCCGGATTTTAGTGTTGTAAATCTGTAAACTTACCGCTGTCCTAACGGGGGACACTTCTATCATTCCGATTTTTCTGATAAACTAGAAGAGTACTTTTTAGGAAGAAAAGTCAATTTCAATATGTGAACAGGATCGTTAATTTATCTGCCAATGAGCATTGAAAATATTCTTAACTAATTACTTCGAATTCATGAATGAAAATATATTATTTAATAATACCCCACTGAAGTTTATATTGTAAAAACAATAACAAAGAAATATAGAAAGGCCTTAAATTATATCTAAATTAAGCAAATTAGTGGTCTCTAAAATTATCGCCGAAACCCATTTTCTTCTGAAAACAAAAATACATAAATATTTGAGCATTTTAATATTTAAGACGCAATTGGAGTTGAAAAGTGCAAAAACGAGAAAGAAAAAATCTACAGATATTGTATTTACCTTAGATCCAGCACAAATGTTGATTTTGCCTTTTTACACTCTGCTGTAGAGCTCTAGATTTCGGAGCTAGCAAGTTGGGTTCGAATCCGTGGATAACAAAAAATATTAAGCTTTATGAGGGGTTTAAATTCGATGACAAGGAACCCACTTTGAGACTAATAA